TATTTAACAAACTATTTAATGTATTTTTTTGAGGACTGTAATGTATAAAAATAAAATAACTACCCATGGATAATATTATCATACCAAAAAATTAAAATTGTTCTTATGTACTGATATACTTACAAAATATTGAATCAATAAGTTATATTATATTGTATATCATAAATATACAAATTAATATATTTAGAAAAAAAATTTCACTTCATAATATTAATTTTACTTGAAAATAGATTGCCTGAAAAAAATGTTGATAACACTGAAGTATTTATAAGTACCTATTTATAACTATAAAAATGTATTAGTTTTATTGGATCATAAAAATTGAATGGTTAAATTATATTCATACATTTAATTTATTGCCTTGTACATAATATATATTAATTATATTTTAATTAAGTTAATATGTGCCTATTGTATTTTAGTACCATGGGATTATGAAGAGTACTCTCGTGAAGAAGAATTAGATATAGAAACCAGTTTAGAAGCCATGGTAGATGCTGCAAGAAGTAAAGTTGTATCAGTGCGATCTGAAGATCCCAGCAGGCCTATTATCCTGGCTGGTGTTGGTGTCAGTGCTGCTATAGCATGTCAAGTAAATATATTTTATTAATTCATATTTTTACCAATATAACATTATACAAATTATAATAGTAAATACTAAATAATAAATATTAATATTAATGCGAATATAGTACCAATATTAATATACTACTATGAGTATAATATAGGTATCCCCATAACTCTTATACCTATAGGACAAATTTAAAATGATTTAAGAGTTGAGACTTTAAAGGATCAAAAAGAAAAGGCAAATAGTTTTCTAGTATGGAGAATTGGAATTGAAGACCAACCAACTATATAGTTGAAAAAAAATAAAAATTATAAGTTTTATGCAACCGCGTAGAGCATAGATAGTTGATATAGATTTATTATCTATTCTTTTATTATTTATTGATTTAAACTTCAAAGCTGAAAAGTGATTTTTATTCAAGCTTATTTAATATAAATCCTCAGTCTTCACATGATATTAATAATAATACGTTTATATAGCTTATAAATTGTATTAAAATAAAATATTGTGTTAATGTGTTATAAATGCAGTATACAATTAATGCAAATACAAGTTTTAAATTTGTAATAATACATGTAAACAATTATTGGAATAAATATTAACTTATATGTTTTTGTTTATGTTTCTTAGGTAGCTGTTTTAGAAAAAGTTGAAGGATTAGTATGTATTGGATTCATTGTTAATTCATCCGAGGTAAAAAGAGGTTATGATGGTGATTGTATTTTGGGTCTTGAATGTCCTACAGTTTTTGTGACTGGCCAGCTCAGCATATTTTCACCGTATGTTGTTACTTTTTTTTATCCGTACATTAAAATCAAATTATTCTTAATAAAAAGTTTCTAAAATTTCATAGGGTTTTGGATATGGAAGAATTAAGAGTAAAGCTGAAATGTAAGACAAATCATATACTAGTTGGTGGAGCAAATGATGAATTGGTCATGAACCATACTACTAAAATGAGAGAGGCAGTCACTCAAAAACTTGTTGACAGATGTGTTTTGGTATAATTTAAACTTGTACTATTAAGAAGATGCTACACCAGCGTGTGTTGTCTCCGTTTTACAAATATAAAACATAGCACGGATATAACTATGGTTGCACGATGGCCCATATTGGATCACAGCACCGAGCGGTGCCGAATGTTCTTATCAATTCTGACAAAAAGTTGCGTTTTACTAGCGCCCTTTACAACCAGTACTATGTTACAGTAATCGAACCTGGTTACCTAGACACTGTGGAGCGCTAGTATGTCACGACTTTTCTTGTATGGACACTATGTATGTATATATGTAACTTGATAAGAACATTTGGTGCCGTTATATTATTGCTTGTTGTGCAACCATAGTATCTATATCCGTGAACATAGCAAAAACTGTTTTTGCGTGTAAACACCACTTAGGCCGTAGTCCAAGTTAAGCAACAAAATTTTCACACTCAAAAAAAAGCAACATTACTGTGCAACGTTGTTTTTAATTTTTCAATATCACAAACACGAAAAAAGTTTCTTTTGTTTAAACATTCTTTATTTTTAAGTTTTTCAAACTTGAATAACTTTTTTGCTCCGATATCGAAAAAAATAAAAACACCGTTGCATAGTAAAAGTTCTCCTCTTTGAGTGTGAAAATGTGGTTGCAGTCTGAGTAGTTCTTACCAGCGCAAAACAGTTTTTGCTATGTCTTACATATTTTGTAAGACGGAGACAACACATGCTGGTGTATTGTTCTCTGACGCCTTGTCCTACGTAAATCTGGCGAGTCCGGCGATTACTATTCTGATCATGCTGTTCTGTCTACCGATGCGACGAAATACAAACTGTTTTTTTTTTCATCGCATTTGTCAGCTTCATATAGGAAACGACATTAAAAATATACTTGCTCTTGTTGTTTTCGTCTTACATGTGTAATACACATCAAATTTTAATTCAGAAAATCATAGATCATTTCGCTCTAATAATAAAGCTTATAATGCTAAATTGGTTCTATTGAACACAAATTTGGCATGTTGTATATTATTTTATAAGACAGAGATGACACATGCAGATATAGCGTTTTCTTATTAATAAACTTTTAACAAATATTTATAGTAAACATTTGTTTACAGGAAGAAATTGGAAATTTCTTGAAAGACATTTTGGAACCTTCCCCAAAAATAATTCGTAAACCTGATGTTGAAAATACAGATTTTAAAAAACCTGTGTTCTCCAAAAAGAAACCTAATAGTAAGACATAATAACTTTTTTTAATACTATTAAACCCTCATTACTTTACATAACACCTGCTTACTAACTTGCATATTGTCTTTAAATTTAACTTAGAACTTTTTTTTCTTAAAATATCAAATTATAACTTCTAAAATTAGATACATTTTATTTTAAAATAGACAAACCTTTAGCACGCCTCAACAAAGGAAACCAAAAACCTACGGTTCCTACCAATAAACAAACTACAAAGAGACCAACGGCAAATCGCAAGATTATCAAAACACCAAGTTCATCTTTGGCATCTAAAGTAATAGTAAAAGATGAAGAACTTATGCCTCCTCCTCCTCCTTCAAGTTCTCTTAAACAAGAATATTATCTTCAGTGTGAAAATACTGACTCTACCATAAATAGTATTCGTAAGTTATTTTAGAAAATATAACATTAACCAGTAACCACAAATTTTACTTTTTATAACTTTCCACGTAGACATATTTTCATTGGTTAGAATGTTATTATGTTGTTATTCATAGGCTGTAGATATAGAGGATTCAATGCTTTCTCCCCCCCCACCATTTGCAACATAGAAAAGTATTTAAATGTATTCACAAACATTAACAACTACCAAAATGAACCCCTACCAATATTAGTTTTTTGTGTACTACTAAAATATTGTAATGGGAATAATTATTAAACATATACTCAAATCAAGGTCATATTGATCGTTGTTATCAAAAATGAATGGTTTAGGGCCGATTTCACCAACACAGTTAATCACGGTTAACACTTAATCGGCTGATAACAGATATTTAACGGGCCAAATTCGGCCTATTAAAACTTCGGTTAACTTTAATCATGATTGACTGTGTTGGTGAAATCGGCCCTTAGTGTTCTTAATATTATTTAAATTTATTTATTTTTTAGAACAAGATGAAATATTTATACCAAAATTAGGAAATCAAAAATTTTCTACTCTAGCAGAATTGTTGCAGGAACAAGACAATTTCAATTTCAATGTTTCACAAACAAGTATGTTCCAGCTCAATACTAATACATATTAACCCATTAGCGCCGAAATTGTTTTATTTATTTTTTTAAATTTTTTTATTGGTCAAATTTCCAATGAGAAATTAGCTTCTAAAAATAGGTCTACCTATGTTGCCATATGGCAACGCACGGCGCTAATGGGTTAATGTTATGTGTATATTATATTCTCATCCACTAATGATCAATTTTGCTCTAAAATACCATAGCTTCATCTTTAACATCTATGAATGGTTCACCTGTAATGTTCACACCAGACCAAAAGAATATTGTAGTATGCAGTTCAAATTTCCAGTCGCTACATAATCAAGCTGCTGCTCCTGTTATGGAAGAAATCACCCCTGATCAAATATTGGACATGCCAATAGTCTTTGCAGATGAACCTCAAGAAGAAGAAGAAGAAGAAGTGAAGCATAATGTTGATAACAGTTCCTATTTCATTGCAAATTTAAATGAATTTAATGAACGGAAAGTGGTTGTCAAAGAAGAACCTGTAGAGGACCATGAAGATTTTGATGTCTTATGTCCTACTATTTCGAGGACTACTGTTCCCGAACGTCTAAATATCAAACAGGTATGCATAATAAATAGTAATTAAACTGAAATGTTCTAAATAACCATGTAATGTGCTCTTAAAAATATACATAATATAAAATACCATAATTATCTATGAAGAACCTATAGTTTTTGTATTTTATAAATTATACAGGTTGCATATGACTCACCTTCCAAAGTCAAGCTAGTAGTAAACAAAGCACCAAAAAGCCTAGTACCCTGTGGTTACCAAACATTCTCTGTACCCAGTCAAAATTCAGGAAACATTCAATTTGTGAACAGATTACCCATATCAGGGAATAAAATCAGAAGAATTGAAGGAGGAATAAATTCTAGGGTTTTACCAAAAACTGTCTCGATCCGTCACATACAAGACAGTAACATAAAAATTCTCAAAAGTGCAACTGGACAACAAATACATTTGAATAAAATTAAAACAATGGCAACCACACAAAAGTTTAAGAAAATTGTATAATGTCAAATTTTGAGACTAAAGTGATGAAGATGCGCACACACAACCTTCACAAGTTGCTGTTAACAAAAGCAAGTTAGTTAATAAAATATTTATATTTATGTTTTTAATATATAATATTACATATTATTGATGTATTATATTAATTATACTATACGTCACTAACATATATATGAACACAAATAAATCCGTTTTGTTTTTTGCGGTTGGAAAGATGTAGTGACTTTTTTCAATCTTAGTGGTATTCTATTTGTACGTTTTCCAAATCTAACCATTTGCACTTTGGTCCAAGCAAAAAAAGGTTTCCTCAATGCTCTGATTACATGGCGTACGCTTATTCTCCACCAACGGGTAGGTATGGATGTGTTGTCATAAGGTTTACCAAAACGAGGACATTGTAGTGTTTTGTTGGCACAACGTTGTAGAAATGCATGTGTAGGCACCAAAACGTGCATTTGCTCAAATTTCAACATCACTCTAAAATAAATATGTTTGTACACATTTACACAATTTAATAAAACAACAAGTGTTTGTTGATTATTTTTTATTATTCATCAATCATTGGTGTTACCTGGGTTCATCGCTATTGGTCAGAGACAACAATATAATGGGACTGGGGATCTTTTGTTTGCGTCCCTTCACAGGCTTGCCAAATAGTCCTCTTTGCTCAGCCATTCGTATCAAATGGTTTGCATCAAAAGTCATCAGTTCCTTGGAAACAAACAATACAGTGTTATACAGTAGGTATTTGTCCAGTTGTCCTTATACATGCCTGCCCTATTATTAGAAATACACTTCTACCAGTTTCTTAAGTAGCAAAGTAGCACAAGAGTAGTAACAAACTCTCAGCACAATATTAATTTGTAAAATGTATTTTAATTAGTAATTACTAATTAATAATGATTCAACTTCAAAAATGACAGCTTGTATTTATAAGTAATATACAATTTTTCTTATTTTGAGTTTAAATAAAAACTACAAAATAATTAATGTGTCCCTTTAAAACTATAATAATTAATAATTATTTAAAATTAATAACTAGGTATGTATATTATGACTATGGTTTATTCTTATTTATGAACAACAACTAAAATGTCGAACAAAGAACATTGGTTGCATCTTGAATAGTAGTTAAGTACCTACTGTGTATACTACTCACCACCCTTTTGACGGCCGCCAAATAAAGGCTTCCAGTAACATGATTCTTCTCCATATTCTCAATTGACTTATCTGGATACAGTATCATTGTTTCAAACCGATCCTTGTCAGGAATCTTAATATGAATTATGAACACACGCGCATGTGATTTTTTTTAAAAAAAAAAAAACATTTTGTTTCTAAAACCTAGAGTTGTATTATATTATACACCGATCATGAAGTTTTTTCTTTCCTAGAATGCACTAGCTGACAAAATAAAACTCACCTTACAGTATTTTAAAGTATAGAGTACTACAGTAATATGTATGTAGGAATTTGTAGATAAAGTCCTTAAGGTACCGTTTCATCAAAGGTGCCAAAAGGCGGGGCATGGCTTAGCTACCCCCGAAGACTACATAATCTGTTGCAGTGCAGATAATATAGTTATTTATTCTATAAGTTATTTAATTTATAATTGATCAAAATTTGGGTAGTACGAAATTGGTTCCCGAGTCAAATTAAGTGTACGAATAAGTTCCCATATTGTGTACACATAGGTATTCTTATGATTTTTATTAAGTTTTACAACGACTGAAAAAGGTTATAAACATAATATTATATCCAATAGATTGATAAAAAGAAAAGTTTATTGATGAAAATATAAAAAAAATTGAATGACTGCCAAATTTTGAACTTACAGCTCGTCAATAATGTAGGTTGTAAATTCGTATAAGTAAAAAGGTACTTAGTATCATAAGTTTATAACTACATTTTTAATTATAAATGTATAAAATAAAATCTGTATGCATTTGAATAATCAATAGCTACTACACGAAATAAAAATATGTAAATAGTATAGCTATTATACTGTTAATGATATTTTAGATTCTGAGCGGAGCAAGGAAGCTAGTGGTTTTACAATGGTGTTTATTTATTTTTTTTCTTTTTATATCCTGTATACAAAATTTCTACCAAAAGGAGTGCTTTGATTTCAACATATAGTACCTTATCTTTTAGCAAATTGGACCAAGATGGTATTTTAGAGAGGTCATTTTTCGATTTTCTCAATAGTTATTTAATGCCACGGGAAAAAGTACTGAAAAATTACGAAAAACCGCTTAAAATGGGATTTTAATTGCTAACAATTTGTTTATCACCGTAGCAACGAAAAAAATAATAATTAAATAAATAAAATAATAATTAATGACAATATAAAATATACAGACTGACAAACCGTCTCCGTTCAGAATCGTTTTTCTTATACAATGATATTATATCATTGAATTCAAGTTTAATACAATCCATTAAACAATGACCAACTTGTAAACTACTGTACAGCTGAGCGACATCCACTTACCTGCCTTTTTTTAATATAAAGTGGAATTTTGTAGAAAAATACGTTTTAAAAAAACAAGCAAAGCCAAGTATAGATTGAAATGATTCAATGGGATTTTATCGATTCCTCCGGCTGTTTATACTTTATAGGCATATGAAATTTTCGATTATATATATATATATATTTTTTTTAATTAATGTCAATAAAAAAATTTAGCTTGGTCAAAGAATTTGAAAATGTAGTATAAGATTTCTCGTAAGTTGTTATTACTGGAAATTAAAAAAAAAGTTAAGCGTAAATCCATCACAATGTTTTATTATGAGCGTCTGAATTTCAAATTTTTACAACATTGGATATTCTCACTTTATACTCAATTTCTCACCATATTATATTATTATACACTATAATTTAAAACGCTCACACACCTGAACCGGATGGAAAACCGCCGGTCGCCAGGGTGTCTCAACAGAAGTGCTGAATTTGTTGCTATCGTCGGCGCTCACAGATGAATAATTGTCCATGTTGTGCTTCTCGTACGCCCATCCGTTCATCTCTTCGACCACCGCCTTGACCATGCCACCGTTTTCCAACTCCAACCGGGAATGTGTTTCGTATACTACGATTTGCACCTATCACGTACAGCATATTGTAATAGATACGTATACAGCCCCATATAACTGGTTTAAATATAGATTATATATTTTTTTATAATTATTATTATTATAAATATACATAATCACAATCTGTAATATGAATTAAACTTGTTTTTTGCTTGGGTTGCGGCTCCCCTGAAACAAATGCCATTTAATTACCTTTTCTGAAAATATAATAACTCCTTAACTGCACTCCTAAATGGTACCGTCAAATTTAGAAGACACTGAACTTCTGGGCCGTGTACAATTTTAAGTCCCTTCTCATTTAACTTGAAACAAAGTTTAGTTATATGTTCGGTACCATTCTACAGTCTACGATTTCAATCATCTACGCCATAATGACATACTGCTAATAATATTAAATCTTAACCATAGCTTAGTCCTTCGTCTGTTGTTTAATTTATGTACCTAGGTATAATTCATACTGTTCACGCCTAGGTAACTAATATTGTAATATTATAATCTACTAGCTGTCACTCGTGTGCTCCGTCTCTGTGGATAGTTGTTTGCAAATTGTGGAGCTGTGGCTCCACAAATCCTGTTTATCTATCTTGCAACGTTTTTTTTTATATGAAGAGTAATTGAACTGTTTGCAGAGTAGTGTAAAACTGTTAAAAACTTATCTTAACTTTTCTGTTACCCAGAAAAAAAATTCTGACGGTTCAACTCTTTTTGGGTGTAATGATATGATGTGGAAGCAATATTTTTTTTTGAATGTAAATGGTATTATATTTTAATCTATAGCCATCTCGACCGGCGTTATCCCGTGAGATTCGCAGCAGTATATTATCTGGTAGGCAATCTACCTACGATAGATCGCGGACCACGTACTGTTTGTACCGATTAAAGACAAAACGAAAGATCCTAGATACCTGTGTGCCACGCTTAATAAACATTACATTTAGAACTATATATTATTATATTTTAACAATTTTTTGTAAGATCGAAAAAATTAACCGATTTATTAAAATTATAATTTATTAATTTCTATTATACTATTTATTGACAATTTTTATAAGATTGACATTTTTAAATAACTATTTATATAAAATATTAATTTTGGCTCAAACGATATGCCATTTTTGCACCACTGGTCAAATGTCTAATGTCATATTATAGCCGTTTTTACGGAAGTTTATAATTTAACTCTAAAGTATTAAAGTTATACCAAGTTTTTTGTTTATACTTAATTTTCATGCTATTAATTTCATCTTCGACTATATTGTTTCTAGATAAGCGCTTCCTCTTAACACCATTTGTGGAGCGGTAAAAGTTTGATTTCCTCTTTTTATTTTAGTAAAATTCTTCAAAATTTACAACTAAAACTACAACAACCATAACCAATAGCAACCTTAAAATCTACAAAAATATATTATTATTTAGTTTATTTTTTTCCTGTACCTATAGCGCCACTGTTGTATTTTTGACATCTAGCTTTCCTACTTTTCCAGTAGATTTTCCTAAAATTTTCTTTCTTAAGAACCTTGTCCTGATAATTACGAACATAAAAAAAAAAGAATCAGCCAAATCGGTCAAGCCGTTTCGGAGCCAACCCGTGACACAAAATCTAGACCTGCTTTTTTGGTATATATATCTAGATATATTATAATTTTTTGTTGCGTTTGGGCGTTAAATATAATAAATCATTTTTACAATAAGCTAAAGTTATGGTGATTGTAGAGTTGATCGATGAGACTTGATGGGGAAAATCTATCTAACTCGTGGCTCAATTTACGTTTCAGTTATCTTTCGGGAATACCTAGAAATTCTAGAATAGTACGAACAGATAGGTATGAATTTTGATTTGAGACGTTTATAGAAAGTTTTGGATACATTTTGTACTGTTGGAAGTGAAAGATCTTAGTGAAGAGTGTGCACTGTGCATACATAAAAGTTTGCTTAAGTGGAGAAATTTTGATTGAAAGGTTTGGATTTTGTTATTGTTCGAGCCTTCGTGAGTTTGGATTCCATAATTGTATAATTATATGTAGGACGTTGGTATACCTACTATTACATAGGTCAGGCGCGTCCTTGAGTATGGAGGGGCCACCCCCCCCCCCCCGTAACTCGTAAGTCGTGAGATGTTCAGTTTTTCTAATATATACAATATACCTAAATACATTTTATAAATTTTATTAATTGTTAAAATCGGTATTCATACATTTTTTTCTCCCCTCCTCCCATGGAATTGACCTGAAGACGCCCCTGACCTAGGTAAGTATAATGTATATAGATATATAATTAGTTTATAATTTTATTACACCATTATATTTCCATGGCCCCACAAAAATAATAATGCAATGATATAATACACAACACTATGTAAATACCTAAGTACTACAAAAAACTAAATAACTTCCATTGAGCTATAGCTATAGGTTACAGCTTCAGTAGGTGTTTAGGTAGGCAGTTGCCAGTTATTATGCCCAAAATATAGAAAATTAAAATTTTAATGAGCTAAAATTAAAATACTAATATATTATAATCAGAATACACACCTGTGGTTTAGACATGGCCATCCGTAGAGTGTCTCTCTGGTCCAACATGCAAGGTATGTCCGACGACTCCTCGGTGTAATCCAACGACGCCACGGCCCTGAGTAACGTGAGGTCACCACCTTTCGAACACACCAACTGAACGGGATCCGTAACCTGCACACGCATATGATTTTTCATACTTAGCATAGGCGCAAATAGGGGGGGGGCTTAGGGGGTATTAGCACCCCCAATTTTAAAATTAGCACCATCTAATAAATATGTGTTTATGTATCAAAACTTCTCTTTACAACAAAAAAAAAACCAAAAACAGTTTATCATCAGACATGAGGGTATCAGAGTATAATTAATGAAACAATGAACTCGACAATTGTAATTTTAACGAATTAAAATCTATTTAGAATATAAATCATTATTTTCTAATGTTTCTACTAAACCCGGTCGTTGTGGTCGGTTATATTATTATCAGTGTTATCACGTTCAGCAGCGACTCAGCTCTACGACAATTTATAGTATCGAGAGTATTTACTAATAGAAACATTCCCGTGCCCACATCTAATTCGGACAAAATATAATTACGATATACGAATTACTTGTCAGTTGGTGTTCACTGGAGTTCCAAGTTTCCGACAGCCTGTGTGATTGTGTATGCCGAATTATATAATATAGTAGGTACAGTATAACTGACTTTTGGAATAACTTTTGTTCTAATCAATATTTATAATGTTTTTTTATAATTTTAACAATTTTTGTCACACATTTCAAGTAGCTTCATTTTTTTTTTTTTTTTTGTCAAGTCTGTCTGTTTCACCCCTTGTACACTAATATTTATTTGTCATATTTTTTGAATAAAATATAAATAATTTGTTTTAAATTTTTAATAAATTAAAATGTACTATTGTATTAATTTTTATAAAATGTACCTAATGCACTATAACTATTCAATGTTAAATTTTCATAAAACCATTTTTTCTCAAAAAAGTCATAAGTGCCTCATAGGTATAATTTAATTTAAATACCCAGGAAATGCAGAGCTTAAGCACCCTCAGTTTTTATGTTGAAATTGCGCCTATGATACTTAGTCACTATATTGTACATTTTATGTATTATAAATTCCATATTATTATAAGTTCCTAAAGTCCATAGGGTATCCTACTATATATTATAATGTATACATATTCAATATGATATAGTCAACAAAATAATTAAAATCGTCATTTTTTGTTTGAACTTAAAATACCTATCTATAAAAAAACTGTCGTATATTTTTTAGATTTTTTGTTACAGTAGTAGAAAAAAATTGTTTTAAATCTTCAATTCTTACCTATAAAAATAGTACATTTTATACATTTTTAACTACAAGATAATTTGCATATTATCGAAATTTTGTTGGATTTTGTCAACATTTTATCTTTAAATGCTTATAAAAATGATTATGTTTTTCAACTGCTATCAAAATAACTTATGAGGAACCTTTTATTGTACATTTTAAAGTTTTTTAACCGATCGGACAATTTTTTATTGGCAATAATTAAATTGAAGTCGAACAATTCTTATGCCAATAAATAGCTTGAAAATAGGCAAAATATTTTGAAAATGTTTTTGCGTCCACTTAAGAATACACCTTGGCCATGTGATAGCCGTCATCATTGACGTGCGCAGACTTATTTCGCAGTGCGATATATGAGGCTAATAAATAATTTGCTCTCCAAAATACAAATGCCTTAACTAATATTATTTGCTTTTACTATTATTATTACTACTTTTAATTAGAAAATAATAGGTTGATCTGTATTTTTTTTGTTATGTTAAAAAACAAAAACATATTATTACATGTTTATTGAAATTGATAACATTTCATAATTAAGCAGTGGACATTGATTGTACATGTTTCGTTATTTTTTTTTCTTAAAAAGTGTTATATTGGGACTTCGTTTATTTTCCCTTTAAAAAAGTGAAAAGTACACCTTTGTTGAGGCCTTAAATTGAATCATAATAATTTTAGATTTATCAGTATTTTTTAGTATAACTATATTTTATTTTAATTGATAAAAATGATTGGCCGCTGAACATTGTCATCTATACGTGCAACACCTCGTAAAACAATATTTTATATTTGGACATAAACTACTATGGGCAATAGTCCTGAGGATAATATAATATAGATGTTTCTATAATATTGATATTGTTGTGTTGATATTGAAGAATGCAATTTAGGTTTCGAGGAAAAAACTGTTTGGTTCGGTAAATTAATGAATAACCTAATTTCTTCATCTAATAACTTATCGAACGGGACATGGAACTGCATTAAATGCTCAAAGTCTCAAAATAAAATAAGAATCACTGCAGTACCATTTGCCATTTTGTGCCACTTCCAACCCTATACTTCCAGCACTTGCCGCACAATCTAGTAAAATATAATTGACGAATGACGATCTTACCCCAGTGTTGGTGTTTGGCGGAGTAGCCAGTACGGATACGATATCCAGCGACAGCTGATTGTTGGAGCTCGACTGAAGGAAATCGTCGGTGAGCAATTTGCAGTTCTGCACTCCCAAGCTCACGAAATAGTTGTAATAGTCATTTTTCCTGGAACATAAATACAATAAATATTATACACTAGTCAATAGGCTGTACCTACAATTATTATCTATATATTAGTGGAGCGATTGAAAGTTTAAAAATGCAAAACAATAATAAGTCCTGTAAAAAAAGACTGGAATCAAATTCAAAGTCACGCGTTGGAACTGTTCGTGTTACCTTCATCGTCGAATATACACTGTATAATATTACACAGTATATATAACATACCATATTATGGTACGGTGTAAAATTTTATTTATTCACACCTTTCGGCGGCTCCGTAAACGATCAGCGATTGCTTTCGTTTGAACAACAGAGACGCCAGGTAGGCGACCGCTGTCTGGATCGTGAAATGCGTCTGTGCCACGTTACCGCACAGCTTGTTGGCGCTCATCGTCCGGTCCAGCATCGCGGGTCCCAGACAATATCTGCGTTCCTGTTATAATGCGATGTATCATAATATTAAAGTGATTAATATATATAGTTTTGCACAACAGATACCGTATATTATAAATCTATATTCTATATAAATCCTCCTCTCGGAGTAGAAAATCAGAATTTATAGTTTTAATCGATAGAATGAGACACGTCATAATATGCGTCGTGAGAATCGGAGTGGGAGATTAAAATTTAGTATTCGCCAATAGTTATATTATTATCGTGGTGTATTATGATTTATGGAATCCCAAAAAATAAAAGTTTTCGTCTGTGCGGCAATATAAATAAACGTTTGATGTCGACCTAAAAACCGTTTTGAATGTTAATGAGTGAGTATAATAATTGAGCGAGTTAGGTCGTGAGGATAAAATATAGTGTATTCTATAACGAATTTATATGAACATTTTCAGTTTTTGACTAGGTGCAATCAGTGGCGCAACCAGGGTTAAAATCTTGGGGGTGCTACCATAATGAATCGCTCACATATCGCCCCCCACACCCCTCAACATTTCCATTATTTAAATTATACTACTATTCACAGTTATACCATAATTATAGTTATATTATAATTCAAAGTATCAAACATAGCTTTCTATCGATACTATAGCAAATGCGGTGCACACACGAATTGCTTACTAAGCCAGGTAAATGAACCTTTTTGAACGAATTGCGCCCCGGACGAATTTCATGTTATACTTTTCCAGTTAACATTTTTTTTAGTGGTTTCCAAATTTATTTTAGATTCTGAGTGTAACGATGAATGTATTCATTTTACAATGATGTGTGTTTTTTTTTGTGTCTGTGTACACGATAAGTAGTCGAAATAATGCTTCGATTTTCAACTTTAGTATCTTGTTCGATTGGAAAGTGAATATTGTTGTTCCATTGAGGAGGTCAAAATTTAAAATTTCTGGTAATTTTCTAAAGCACCACGAAAAACAAAAGAAAAATTAAAGAAAAACGGGAATTTTTACGTAAAATCGAATTTGGGTTTTGGTTTAACTTTAAAACAAATGACCGTAGATACATGAAATTTTCACTGGTTGTTTATATTATACTATAAACGATAACATTTTCAAAATATTTTGATTTATTTTGAACTGTTTAGGGACATTTTCCGTTTCCAATTTTATTAGTTTTATTTTTTTATAAATATTCATAAAAATGTATTTGTTGAGTAAAAATACTTGAAAATTTAATACAAGGCTCCTACTATATTGTTACATTGACATTTGAAAAATATTAAAAATCCTAAGTCACAGTTTATTTTTATAAGCATTTAAAGTTCAAATCTTGACAGAATATGGAAAAATCACGATAATTAGCAAATTATTTAAGTTAAGAATTTATAAAATTTTTCTTTTTATATCTAAGGTTTTAAAGTGTAATACAAGATTCCTTATAAGATTATCTACCTTTATCAAAAAAAATTTCTCTAAGAAAGTCAAATTAAATTTTTATGAGAGTTAGAAATTAAAATTTTTACAACATTGGATATTCACTTGATTTCTCATGTAGCGATTTCCTTATTTTGTTGTAATTCAAAAACGAATAAATGTAGGTACATGAAAATTTCACTGAATGTTTATATTAGCATTTCCTATACACCATACAACTTTGAAAATATTTTGACTCTTTTTGGACTGTTTATACGGACATTGTCAGTTTTCGATTTTTATAGTTTTTTTTCCTATAAATATCAATAAAAATGTTATTGCTAGGTAAAAAAGCTTGAAAATTGAATGCATGCAAAGTCCCTCGATATATTGTAATGTTATTATATAAAGTTGAAGTAGAAGGCATTAAGTATTTAGTAATATCATAGGCTGACTGACAGTTTTCTCTCAGAATCGTTTTTCTTATACAATGATATTATATCATTGAATTCAAATTTAACGCCATCCATTACAGTGAACCACTTGTAACCTAATGTACAGCAGAGCGACATCCTTATTTTGTTGTAATTCAAAAACGAATAAATTTAGGTACATGTAAATTTCACTGAATGTTTATATTAGCATTTCCTATACACCATACAATTTTGAAAATATTTTGACGCTTTTTGAGCCGTTTATGGCCATTTACAGTTTTCAATTTTTTTTTTTTTTTCTATGAATATCAATAAAGTTTTATTTGATGACCCAAAAAGTGTAAAAATT